TTCTCCCCCACTTAGGCCCGAAGCTCCGTCTCGGGCTCCAGCCAGTCCACGAGGCGAATGCTCGAGGCAACAGGTCAACCAATCCTGGACGTTGTGGTACGTCTTGATTGATGGTGAGCCTTGTCGCTCACGATCCAGGGGTTGGCTTGGATTTTCGACAACCAGGGGCACGACAGCTTATGGTTATGGACCCTAGGCAGTCTTCAGCACACTATCACACCAGCCATGTCGTCGCCAGTCCCGAGTCCAGCGTTGGGGTTGTCGGACGGCACGACCATTGTTTAACTTCGTAATGCTTTTCTTCTTGCGTTTCTTCAATCTTCGGTCTTGAATATACATACATGCAGTCGTCCTGGCGGCTTCCATTGGCGTCCAGGTCGGTGGAGCGAGTCCGTTAGAACTTCCTGACCACAGCCTCCTCATCTAGAGCAGATATGTGAGGGCTGCGGTATAAGGTCGGCAGACCAGCACGCTCCCGGACACGGTTCTCGTAGTCCGTGATGAACGCACCGTAGTCGGCCAGTCGTGAGCGTCGTACCCATTGCTGAGAGGCGTCGGCGTACTCGACTAGGTAGTCTTTCTCTGAGGCGACACCTTGGCGCTTGTCCAGGACGCGCGAAACAGGCGAGCTTGAGTTGGTGAACGCGACGTCACCGTCCTGGAACTCGACTCTGGAAACAAAGCTGTCGCTCGGGAACAAGTTGTCGGTCAGGATCGTGTCATCAGTCTCGGAAGTTCGTTCCTGCCAGTCATCCTGGCCGACTGGGATCTCTTCGTTGAACGGCCGGGTCCAGTAGCCCTTGAAGGCCTTCAGGCGATCCACATTGATCGGCACCACGCGGTCGGGGTGGGTTGGCAGGTAGATCCTGTACGTGTTGTCGACTTGCCTGGAGTGGATCCTGTAAGGACCGTACCAGTGGTAAGCCAGCTTTTTGATACGCACGTCTTCCGGGTTCATCGACTTGTGGAAGTGCTGGTAGACCCAAACCGGGTCGGCCGGCTGGAGGTCGAGCTTGCGAGGGGCCTTGGCGGCCGAGTCGCGATTCTGGC